ATAATCAATGAATTCCTTCTTCAATTGCTCTTTGAAGCAAGCACCAGAAATCTCGTGCTTTTGATGGTTCACACCCAAGCCCTAGCAACTAAGGAAACTTGAAGAGAGACGATGAGAAGGAATATTTTTGGCTATGCACTTGGCAAAAAGAGTGGCCGAAAATATGAAGCTAAGGAACCCTGTTTATAGTTGATATGAAAGCCCTAGATAACCCTTACTTGATTAAAATAATAATATCTCAAATTAGATAATTTTAGTTTCCTAATTATCTTCAAGGGATATTGTAGAACCCCTAGAATACTCCTTAAAACCATCCAACACCCGTGGAAGGTTCTGGAATCCCTTTTGTTCAACTATTGAATAATTACAGCTTAGGTCCTTACACTGTTAATTAATCCAATTAATCCCAAAATTAATTCTAATTAGCTTCTAATTAATTCTTGATTACCATTTTTAATTAATATATTATTCTCATAATATATTAATAAATCATTTATTGTAATTTGTTAACCATATGATAAATCAATAAAGCAGTCTCTCTCTCTAAAATTCATCCTATCCAATTTCAGGTTTGAGGGCAACCCAAAAGTACTTTGCTAACAATTTAAGTATATACCAATTTAGTTATTGGATTAGACACCTAATCCAATAGTCTCCCACTTGGATAAGTCTATAACTACAACTGCCAGTATAACTTCTAAACCAATAGCAAAGGGTGCTTCCCAGAGAAACTCTAGTCTCTGATCTGATCAAACAATAGTCCTAAGATAATTGATAAAATATTCATTCGTTCTACAAGATATCGTATGGACACGAGACATGGATTGAAATTAGTCTCATTGTCTAAAATTCTGTTTCCCAATTTCCTGATTTATGACGGCTGAATTCAGACTACTAATTGAATACATCAATTCAGTCTCGGCTCATCCAAGCACTTTAGATGTCGACAAAAAAATCATCGAGAGGACCAAAGATATCACTTTTCTCGTTAGGGGAAAAAGGAAGGAATAAATTTCGACTCATATTCTTGTATCTTTTACACACCAAATCATGCATGACACTAAGTTTTATAACATCAAGTTACTACTGCATTTACGTAACACCAATACACAATCGACTTGTAAATTACAACTCATATATCTCCATTTCAAGAATATAAGATATTATCGCCTTAGAATTACTTGTGATAAAATCCATGAAATAATTCTTTTAGCGTGCGTTTATCTAATACTCAAAATCTCAATTTTTCTAAGTGCTCATGAACATTGTAGCAACCATTGAAATGTCTAAAATCAATAGACAATCTACAGTTCAATTCATGACAGTCTTAATTCACTAATTACTTCCAAAAGCATGAGCGACTGTGGAATTTCGAATAATCAAATCATTCAGGAAGTAAAACATGCAAAGTGAAACACAATAATAAAATAATTACCTATGGTCTCAAAACTATCGAATATAAATAATATCTATTATTTAATCACCATAATAATTACGACTTTATTCATTGTATAATGTTTCGAGTATTCAACTAACCACTTGAATTAAACATTAGTCATGCCATGTTATGAACATGCATACTATGCCTCTCTATGGTCCTTCCTTTGTGAACAGATCAACATGACATTATTTCAATGATTCTCATTTCACAATTCCAAAGTCTCAAATAATGAGTCTTTGATATTACGAAATATCTTGTGATATCAAGATTCCAAAGTCTCAAATAATGAGTCTTTGATATTACGAAATATCCCATTGGAACTTTGTTACTAGATAGGATTCCATGGTAATGAAGGTTCTAATTCAAGGTACACTCCTTGAATACTTCTCTTGCATTAAAGTTTCCAACTCACACTTAGACATTTTCAAGTATCTCCCATTATGGAAACATTTCCATATTTCCATATGACCATCAATTCTGATCAAGAGCCATCTAAATCCAAAATCATGTCACTATGGTCCATCCAAAATAATAAGTTAATATTATAGCATATATAATCGATCCGATATCTAAAGCATATGGGACTCGACTCATTATGTCTCACATAAGGATTTGATATATGTTCAGTCTTTTGCTATGATATTTTCATATATTGATTTTGCTATGTTGAACCATTTCAACATGATATTCATATATGTCTTTGACTAAGTTCTATTAAACTCTACAATCTAAACCTTTAGATTTGAAAAGAAGTATGAGTGACCTCTCCCACAAGTCTACTATAGCAAAACAATTCCTAAACTTTGTAATTTTCAAATTGAAAACTTTGTTCCCCACGAATAGTATTGTTAACATGCAATACTAGCATAACAATTATTCTCCCACTAGCGTTCACATGTACCTAGAAATCAATTTGAATTCTAGAAAACAATACTCTTGATTTTCTTAGTGAAGTACAAACTTCTGTTGCGTGATGTTTCGATAATTCTCCAACTATACTTCTTAAGCTTATACACCTTAATTAGACAGCATATGTGTGTGTTTAAACCCTTTCAGAACTTATAGATATATGTCTTGAAATTTCAAACAATTCCTTGCCATTCCTCATAATTTGAAATATGAAGAGGGATGCCTAATCATGTTGTGAATTTGAGAATGCAATTAATACAACCAATATCCATATTGATCTTTATCGGATCTTAAGAATCTATTAGTGAAAGTATTTCCTCATAATCATTATCATGAATTAGAGCGAAAACTTTTCCACCTAAATTTCATGGTGAATACGCTCCCATCCATGTGAATATATCATTTCCAACCTATAATCATAAGTCAAAGTTCAGGACAAAACTAAATTCAAATTTTGCTTTCCTTCATGGACTGAACTTCACTATTCTACATTTCTTGCCCTCTGGTAGCTCAAGGGCCTACAAATGCTTCCATTTTGTTAGCAGCTCACCCATATTGATCAATGTACTTTCACTGACCATTGCGATTTTGCTTTTGTAGTTAAATGAAAAACATAGAACGCATAAGCATTGCCAACTCAACTATAAGTGCACAGAAATAAGAATGTGTCAACTAAACACGATAGGTTACCAACCTCAGATCGCGTGCTAGTGATAACTAAAAGGTTTATTTTCTATTGACTCTTGAAACTCTCAAGATCGATATGACTCCCACTGATTTCTTAACATATTAAATTTTCTCTCAAAGAACATTCATTTGACGAGCTAAAACAAATATTCAAAAGTTCCTGTAGATTCACTACAAGAAAACACTTTAAAGAATAATTCTTACTTTATCTTTTGTTTCTCAATTAACGAAAAATATCACAACTCCAATTCCATATATGCTAGAGTAAGAAACATTTTACTCCACATATTTCGAGGCGTTTTTTCAACCTTCTTAGTTTGAAATGGGTTTAAAGATATGATTCATAGTTACTAGAGCATGACACCAAAACATGATTGGAACAAAGTGTGACTCATCTCTTGATCAAACTAATTGAAACAATATTGATTCCTCTTCTTAGTCATACAATTGCACTAAGATGTTCTTCAAGGATCAATTGTGATATAAATACATAATCACTAAGATGATCATAAAAAATGATACTAAAGTACTTTCCTTTCCTTTCAGATTTGAGAAACTTTTATCTTTCTACCTAATAAATTCTTCTCATTCGTTCTGCTACACTTTGAATCTTTTCAAGGGTATTATAATTATGCTTAATCTTATAAACACAACCATACTTACTAAAGCATCAGTAAATCATGACGAATAGAGTTATCGTCCTTTGTGATGGATCAACATGTACTAGATCCATTAGTCCTTCACTTGCCTCATATAAACATGTGGTCAATGAATTAGTTATAATTTTCCAAAGAACAAGATTCTTATATGCTATACAATGCGACTTGTACAACACCAAGTATCTGTCCAGTTGGTGATGAGATTTCTTTTCACTTGGTTAATTATGACAATGCCACGAGCGATATTATAAGAATCAAATCCATAATTAATATTGCTATTATTAGAAATGTAACCAACATTTTCATAAATGTCAATACAAGGAAATATAAAATAAGGGAACCAGATATAACAAAATTTCACTTTTATTAAAAATAAATGAAAATTTGGAACATGACCTTACAACGCATAAAATGAAAACTATGTTACTTGACATTTCTGAAAAATAATAACAATCTATTTAATTATCCCAACTTCTTAAAAGTAGCTCTCAAATTCAGATCTTCGAACCATGTGACCAAATTCCATTTCTCATGATCAGATTTAGCTCACCTTGTTCAAGCTTCCTTCTTTCTTTTAGCTCCTTTAATACCATCAACATGTGATCATCTCATCATGTATTAAGAGTCTATGAATAGGAACTTATAAAGCAATGGAATCAGATAATGGATGTACCTGAAGTAGAGTCACACGACTTGACTTTACTATCTCTTAGATCTTTCAAGTATTTGGGCAGCTTCGTTTCCAATGTCCCTTCAATTGGTAGTAGAAACAGATGGACTCTTTGGGGTTAACACTTGGAATGATCCCAAAAATAGTTTTTCCGTTTACCATACAATCAAGCGATTTGATCTTGGATGAACCCTTTCCATTAGGAAGAGAAATCTTTTCTGGACCACCATTGTCACTATTTTTAATGTCTATGGAAACCTTGGAATTAGACCCAATAATCATTTCTGCTTTAGATGTGCTCTTAAGCATTTCTGCTTCAGAAACAATAAACATTTGGGTCAGATCATTAGGGTCATGTCGAGATTCCTCATATAAAAGTTCTCAACGAACTGATCATATGACTCTGGAAGTGAGAGAAAAACCTAGTCAATGGCTTGCTCCCTTGGGAAACGACACCCAATCTATCCAACTTGTTGATGTACAATTTCATTTTCAGAACATGAACACACAGAAAGTTTCCATTTTGATGTTTACATGTAAATAAGGATTGAGTAGTTTCGTATCTTTCAACTTGAGGAAAACGTAAAGTTGGGAGAGTCACAAGAAGAGGTGGTGGAAGAGTTGAAGAAGCACGATGTCTAGTTCCACCAATTCTCAAAAAAGGGAAAACATTTTCGCCTTATTTAGAATATGGAAGATCATCTTCACAAGGAAGATGAAAACCATTTCCAAAAGAATGAGAAGAGGTGTTGGAACGTTTGATCCTAGTGCTGCCAGTTCCGCCTCTAGCCATTTTGGAGAGATAGTCAATGTGATTGACTCGTTCATCTCCTGTGACTATGCTTCCCTAATGAAGTTGGGTTCCCTTGACATTGATGGCCTCTGTCGGTTGTGTGCGGATAATGATCATGGAGGAGCAGGTCCTAGCAGTGATGCCAATATCACATGCTTGGATGGAGGAGCTGGCAAATGAAGGACCTTTCGTGCTTTTGACTTAGTGTTGCCCTAAAATGGGTGTGAATAAATATTTTGCTTTTAATGTTGACCCTGTGTAGCCTAGGTTTTTAAGGTTTTGGCGTGTAACAAAACAAGAACTTTCCCCTTTTGTATTGCTATGTATGTTGTTTTCTCGCCTTTTTCTTTGCATGCGTATTGTGTTTGATTCATATAACTTCTTTCTTTGGTAGAAGTTATAATTCTTTTGGGTCGAGTCAGAGCTAAATTGCCTACTATTGCATTGAGTTGAGTATTTACCATACAACTCTTTTTCTTGGCAAAGGTTGCAACCCTTTGAGCCAAGGAAAGGATGAACTGCTTGTCGTTGCGTCGAGTTGGGTATTTGAACCATTAAACTCTTTCCTTGGAAAAGGTTGCAATCCTTTGAGCCAAGGCATGGTTAAACTGCTTGCTGTTGCGTCAACTTGGGTATTTGAACCATACAAATCTTTCCTTGGAAAAAGTTGCAATCCATTGAGCCAAGGCAAGGCTGAACTACTTGCCACTGCGTCTAGTTGGGTATTTGAACCATACAACTCTTTCCTTGGAAAAGGTTGCAATCCTTTGAGCCAAGGCAGGGCTGAATGGCTTGTCGTTGCGTTGATTTGGGTATTTGAACCATACAACTCTTTCTTTGGCAAAGGTTGCAATCCTTTAAGCCAAGGCAAGGTTGAATTGCTTTCCATTGCGTTGAGTTGGGTATTTGAACCATACAACTATTTCCTTGGCAAAGGTTGCAATCTTTTGAGCCAAGGCAGGGTTTTTCCCTTGTGTCGAGTTGGGTATTTGAACCATACAACTCTTTCCTTGGAAAAGGTTGTAATCCTTTGAGCCAAGGCAAGGCTGAACTGCTTGTCGTTGCATCGAGTTGGGTATTTGAACCATACAATTCTTTCCTTGGCAAAGGTTGCAATTCTTTGAGCCAAATAAAGGTTTAACTGCTTGTCGTTGCATCGAGTTGATTATTTGAACCATGCAACTCTTTCCTTGGAAAAGGTTGCAATCCTTTGAGCCAAAATAATGATAGGAAAAGGAAAAAGGAGATATGATCAAGGTAACTGCCTATGGCGATCAGCCCTAGGTCTTTAATTCATTACTACTTGACGTATTACAAAAAGAAAAAAGGATGAGATTACTGGTTCTTTGGCTATCCTTCATCTCTTCTCCTCCCCCCCTGTTAAACAAAAAAAATCCTTAAGTGCTGGATGTGCCAAGTTCATTGTATGGGTCGCCCCTCCATTGTTTCCAATTCATAAGATCCATTGTGGTGTGTCGTTGTTATCCTGTATGGACATTCCTATGTTAGGCCTAGTATTTCCATTGGCTCGCCATGACTGACCTCGGTTGCCCTTAGCACCAGGTCTCCAACCTTCATGTCTCACCCTTGAATTCGTTTGTTGTAGTAGATTTCAACGTGATATTTGTATGCTACCTGGTTTAGTTCGGCTCTTTCTCGCTTATCGTCAAGCAGGTCCAAGTTGTGGCGCAAATATTTATTTGATGCTTCTTGATTGAAACCTATTGTCCACACTGATCCCACGGGTATTTTTGTAGGTAGCAGTGCCTCTGTGCCAAAAACAAGGCTGGACGACGTCTCTTTTGTGCTGGTGCGCACGTTGTTCTATTGAACCATAGGACACTAGGTATATCCTCTAACCAATTGCCCTTTTCTTTTCCCAAGTGCTTCTTGATTCCATTCACCAATGCTTTGTTTGATATTTTTGTTTGTCCATATGCTTGCGGGTGAGCCACTGAGGTAAAACGCTGCTCTATGTGTTTGTCTTGACACCATCCTCAAAATGGATTTTCGGAGAACTATAACATGTTGTCACTGATTAAGGTTTTAGGAGTTTCGAAACGCATCAAGATATTTTTCCACATGAACTTGATCATGGCCTTTCCTATGATATTTGCGATGGGTTCTTCCTCGATCCATTTTGTAGAGTATTCAACATCGACTACTAAGAAATTTACCCTTCCTGGAGCTTTAGGGACCAATCCTATAATATCAATCCCTCACTGGTGGAAGGGCTAAGGGCTAAAAATACTCGATATTGGTATGGATGGTAACCACTGTGTTGGAGAGAAGTTTTGACATTCTACACATCTTTTCGTTAGTTCTTCTTCCTCTTTATACATCGTTGGCCAATAGAGGCCCATGCATAGCACATTCCCAGTGAAGTCCCTTCCCCTTCATGTGCTCCTGCTTTACCTTTGTGTGCTTCTTTCATGATGTATGCTCCCTCTAACGTCGTTACACAGCATAACCATGGCATTACATATCCTCTTTTGTATAGTTGTTCGTTCTTTACAATGAATTGGGGAGCTTTGATTTTCACCTTTCGTGCTTCACTCGGGTCACTCGGTAGCATGTTGTATAGTAGGTAGTCATATAGGTGAGTCATCCAACCTTTTTCTTCTGTTGCGATGGCATTTAACTTTTTTTCATATATGCTTTTTACTTTGAGTATTTAAACCAACACTTTTTGGATAAGTGGCTGTATGTTGCTGCTGCCAATTTGCTAAGTGCATCTGCATGTTTTTTTCACACTCCTTTTGACTTGCTCAATCTTCAAGGTGTCAAAAGATACAATCATTTCATTGATTGTTCTCATGTATTTCTTTATTCTTGGATTCTTGGTGTCGTATAACCCGTTTATTTGGTTCGTGATCAACATCGAGTCAGTCCTAACTTTCAAATTTTTTGCTCTAACTTTGTTTTCCAATTTTAATCCAGCTAGCAAAGCTTCGTACTCGGTTTTGTTGTTTGTTGTCACAAAATAGAACCGTATTGTGTATGCTATCTCATTTCCTTTTGGGTCGGTAAGTATAAGGCCCGTTCCTGATCCTTCCCTGGTGGGTGCGCCATCGGTGTATAATGTTCAGACCAGATTTTTGATGATGGTCTTTGCTCTTTCATCTTGCTACATAGTGGTTATGTTGCATCCCTTGTCCAGAACTTCTTTCAGGTTGTCTGCCGAGGGTTGTCTTTTTATACTTGTTCTAGGGTGATATCATATCTCGTTTTCTCCTAACTCAATGGCCCACTTGATTAGCCTTCCTGATTTCTCTGGTTTGAGCATGATGCTTTTGAGAGGATGGATGGTAAGGACTTTGATTTGATGTGCCTGGAAATATCAACGCCAATGTCGGGCATCATAGAATAATGCTAACTACCTTCTCAACCATGGGATAATTTAAATCTGCCCCTTATAGTGCTTTACTGACGAAGTATATGGAGAGCTGTTTATTCCGTATTTCCACCATCATCACTGTTGAAATTGCGTCTGTTGCTGCAGATAAGTACATTGACAAGATTTCACCTGGCATGGGGCTCGCCAGCATTGGGACTTGCCTGAGGGCTTTTTCAATTCCTGGAGAGCATGTTCGGCCTCGCGAGTTCAGTTGAAGTTATGTTTATCGATACATCTTTTTTGCGTCTGGAATAGCTGCATTGCCTTATCCGCTGATCGTGCTATGAATCCTCCCAGAGCCATAATTTTCCCATTCAGGGCTTGCATCTCCTTTAAGCTTCGTGGTTCTGTCGTGTCTAGAAGATCAGCAATCTTCTCTGGGTTTGGCTGGATTCCTTCCCTTGTTATGTAGTGTAACGTCCCAATTCATTGTAAAATTTTCATTTTTAAAACAATAAACCATACAAACGAGTTGTTCCAAAACTAATCAAGGTGAATATATTATTTAAACATCAGAGTAAATATTGAAAATTGCCAATGCGAAAAACTCTGGTGGATGCGATGCAGTCACACCGGGCCCTTCCCTTTCGTACCGGAAATACCGAAAACCATAAACATAAACTGTAAGCACAAAGCTTAGTGAGTACCCTAAAGTACCACATACCATAACATAAAACTTGGCCTAACCCTAGGGTATAACCAACCCGATATACATATATGGGTTCCGCCCTAGGGCCTCGTCGTGGGGTGTTTTCAACCCGATCAACACATATGGGCCCCGCCCTGGGGCCTCGCCTTGGGGTATCTTTCAACGTGATCATACAATAGTGGGCCTCACCCTAGGGTCTATTTCCACCCAAACATATAATAATAGGCTCTGCCTTGGGGTTTATTTCAACCCATCATACAAACTCATGTAAACCACACAACAGTTATCAGCCTAAATAAAACAATAATGGGCTGGCATTGGTGCCTTCGACCCATGGATACAGTGAGAAACTCACCTCACTGTCTGAAAGAATAGCTGCACCGATCACTTCTCTGAAAGCTATCTCTACCGGTCACCTATACAATTAACAGGAACCCAAATCTCAAACTCTAAATCAAATTACCCAAAATGCCCTTAGGTCAAACTTGGTCAAAATCCTAGTCAAAGTCAAAAGTCAATAGAGTCGACCGGGTCAACTCAGTTGAGTATGTTGTGCGTACTCAACACGTACGCGGAGCGTACTACGCCTTCACCAGAAGTCGAGGGGTTGACTACGTATGCGTGCCCTTTGGTACACCTAGCGTACGCGACTGCCATCCTCCCAATCCATTAAGAGCTTAATCATTTAAGCTCTTTCGTCCAAAATCTTGATCTAACCCTCAAATGATATCCTTAACCATAAATTTTTCCAACTTTATGGCCATGCATGGCTATTAAGTTTTCAACATCTAAAAACCCTAACTTCTTAACCATTAAGTTATCCAAGACTATGCATGGAGGAAACTAGGGACCAAGGTCACATTTTTATGGTTCCTAATGACTCCATAATGGATAAAGTTTCGAACTTTATCTATTAGAATGGTCCAAACAACCAAGATCTAGTCTTTAAGTCTCAAAGGGACCAAAAGTGCATCTTTTTCAACTTAATCCATTAAGTCCAAGTCTCTAGCCTTTAGATCTGAATCAATATGATGTTTAGATGGATAAAGTTTCCAACTTTATCCATAAAATGTCACAAACTTTCAAGATCTAAACTTTATACTAAAGTGACCAAAAGCTCATAACACCCTAAAC